AAAATAGCAAAAATGAACTTCGTTTAGATGCAAAGGCCTATTCTGCAATTTTTTTCACATTTTTTGGGGCTCAAAGATGTCAATTTTATGTAGAAAATGTAGATTGACATAAAATTGTGGTTTATATAAAAAAAAAATGGCAAAGAGGAGTGAATTGGTGTATGACTCCCCTTATGATTAATAGTATAAGCCAACAAACAAATATATTTCATCGAACCTGATTCGTTGAGCATTGTTTCATAATCGAGTTCAACTTTTTCAATTTATTTTTATTTATTAATATTTAAGCATAATTCTAATTAGAATAAGGAGTCTTTTTAGATTGAACTAAAAGCTTTTGTTGTTTTTTTTTGTAATAAAGGACTCAAATTTTTGCATAGCAAAAAATAAATCATCAGAAATTTTCAAACTTTTCGATTGCTCCACTTGGTGTGGGAATTATTTTACTGGTATTTTCTTCTTATTTTTCATCACCATCAGATGATTCCTCATTAAATTTTTGTTTTTTATTTGAAATATTATCAATTATTTCTTGCTCACTTAATTTTCCAAATGTTGATACACCATCAACGACAGAATGCTGATTTTAACATTCTACTTGCGACTAAAGCATCTATTTTGGGGTTAACCGTTGAATTCTTTTCTATAAATAGTATATTATCACCACAGGCCGCGAAAAACAGAAAAATCCCAGGTACGTGTGATTAGTAGCTGAAGCGAAGCCGAGGTCAATAAACACGTGCCCTGAGGCTTTCTTTTTTCGCAGCTTAGGCCTGTATACTACTTTTCATACTGCGTGTCCTGAAATAGTTATTTACACATCAATGGCTGATAACGGGATGATTGCAGCCGAGGTGTGTTTGCAGCGTTGGGGCCGCTGCGCGGCCGAGGTGACTACAGCGCCCCAACGCTGCAAACACACCTCGGCTGCAATCATCCCGTTATCAGCCATTGATGTATAAACAATTTTTCTGCTTACTTGCCCGTTTTGAGGAGCAATACCTAAAAAGATTCAATTAATGATGAAGCTCAGACACAAGCTGTTAACAATAACGTCGATGAAGATGTTATGTCGCAAGAGAGGATCGCGAGCCGGAGGCGAGCTGTATTAGCATTATATGTGTCTCGTCGCGAGCCGAAGGCGAGCTGTAGTAGTATTGTAAGTGTTTCTCGCGAGCCGAAGGCGAGCTTTATGTATATGATTTTTTTCGTCTTCACTACTGCTGGACCCACTTTCGTCGGCATTATGCCCAATGTTTGAGTTTAAATCCATCGTGCGGTATACGTAAATATAAAAAAAATTTGGTTAAGTCGGATCTGCGCAGAAGCGAGTGAGGGACAGTGAGTGAGCGTGGCAACCCGCTATACGCACCGCTGTGCTACGTTATACGTACGACATATAAAAACAAGCGCTCGCTATACTCACCTCCTCGCACTGTAATCATTATTATAGTGCCAGGAGTCATGATTATAGTGCGAGGACAGTGGCGCCGCGCTGCTCGACTGAAATCGACGGCATTACCCATTGACGACGCTCAGTACGAAATACGCCTCAAACGGGCTAGTAAGCTGAAAATAGCTTTTTCTGTTTTGCGAAGCATCCGGGAAATAGTCACTTTTGAGCCACTGGTATGAAATTGACATGCCCGAGGTGAAAGATGCCTCTCCCCAGAGCAGAGCAGCAAGATGCCACTTAGCGCTTCGAGTAGAAAGATGTCACTTCGACGCTCGGTATTTCTGCGTTTGAAGCTTCAATTTTAACTTTTATCTTCATTCCAACGCCAGATTCTGAAAGATCATTCAATTTTACTTCGCAAACATGAAACATTAACATGGTGTCACTTCAAATGCAGAAAAAACCTTCCTACAGAATCACGCGCCAAATGGCATTTTTCTGCTGTGCTCTGCGGAGCGGCCTCTTTCAGCTCTGGCACGTCGAAATAGTAAATTTCGTTATGACTGCGTGAAGTGAATGATTCTCGTCCGAGTGATGTATACTATTTTTTTATCACGAGTTGTGGGAAGTTTGAAGGAAGCGGAAAAGGAAAGAAGGGGGTGGAAACGGGCGCATGAGCGGGCCCACGGGCCATAAAAAATTCTGTTTATAGCTTTTTTATTTTTAATAATGAAAAAATTAAATTTTTTTAAATATGAAATTTAATCTTTCTGTTTGTCATCAAAAAGACAATAGTACAAAATTGTATCCATTTATTTTCATTATCAGTATGAATATTAACCCATTAAATCCCAAGAGGACGTTTTTTTGACACTCATTTCGGTCGCTGTATTTTTAATGAAAAAGGGGTAAAAAAAAATATACGAGTAGCCTGTTCTTATGTAAAATTTAATGCCCTTTTAGAATCTGAGCTCAGATTTTCAAAAAAATAATCAGGTCAAAAGTTATGGTTGATTTTATCCAAAAAAGCGTGATTTTGAAAAAAAAATTTTTTTATTTTTTAATTTTCCAAACGGGAAGCATTTAAAATCTCATGGTTTTCGTACAAATACCGCGTCCTCGATGTCTAAACTAAAAGTTAGAGGGGTTCCGATTCGAAAAATTAATGTTTAAACAAACAAAATGTTGGTCGGAACGCGAAAAAATAAAAAAAAAACTTCTAGGATTTTTAACTCGAAAACGAAGGACTTGAGGAAAAAATTTTATAAAACAAAACCTGTTTAGAATTGATCAAAGAATACGCGTGATTTTTTTTCCGAATTTTCGGAGCGATTTTTGGATTTTTGGATATGACCATTTTTCCAAAAATCCAAAAATGGTTCCAAAAATTTTGAAAAAAATCAAGCGTGTTCTTTAATCAATTTTAACAACTTTTTGTTCCATAACTTTTTCTCGTAAAGTTGATGGTTATTTCCTGTTGGAAACATTGATCTTGAAGTTCACTTGAAAAATCCGAATTATTCTCCATTTTGAATAAGATAAATCACTCTAGTTAAGATTTGGAAAATCAGGTTTCCGTGGATAGTCTGTTACTTGAATGTATTGCTCCCATTTTATTTACTTCAAAGGACTCGCAGTTTGTTGCATCGTTTGAAAAATGATCTTATAACGTCCTACTACTCTATTTATTCTAAGCCTGGAGTTTCCTCCACTAGCTCTAGACATAAATCGGTTTCTCAGCAAATGTAATGGTAGTGTTGGTATACAGGGATACCTTATAAATGTAGTATTGGTATGCAGAAATACCTTGTCAATATGGTAGTGGTATACACTGTATACTATACAGGGATACCTTGTTAATATGGTATTGGTATTGTCACGTGGGCACACCGGGCCCCACCAGTGACTCGGCGTTACGTCACGCGCGACGAGGTAATGAGCGTAGCTCTTTAGTTATCTCGTCGCACCTTGAGTAGTCAGTCCAGTTGCGCAGCCACGAGCGCTGCATTATTCTCTCTCTCTCTCTTGCGTACTGTCATTGTAAGTCTTGTGTCGAAGTTACTTTACCCCTCTCCATCCTCGCCCCACGTAACAGTATACAGGGTGGTATTGTACACAATATTTATTATATATATACCTTGTATTTACAAGGTGTGTATATATATATATATATATATACCTTGTATTTATATATATACACCTTGTAAATACAAGGTATGTATATAATAAAATTATTTTTTTTTTTTTTTAGTCATCGATTTTCCAGATTTGTTTGGGAGGCCAGAATTTTAGCGCGAGACTCATTCAACGCGTACTATATAGAAATAAAAATATATAGATATGGAATATGTATCATCGACGCGATGTCATTGGACGTCACAATCTATTGACTATTTTTTTATAGTAACTTTTTTGCATTTATACAATTTATACATATCTTGGCATCTGCTTTACAATCAATAGAAGAATGTTCTCCTGCACATTTGAAGCATACCTTTTGGTTTGAAAGACTTCTCTGCATTTGTTAAAACTATAGTTATAACCACAGCAGTTCTTAAATCTATTGACGTTGAAGTTTTCGAATACTTTGCAGTTCTGGTATCCAAAAAAACATATTTACTTTTCATTATTAATGAATAGGCATCACGTGTCACTTGTGCCAGAACCGCGTTTAATTGATTCTTCTGTTGGTATATGGTGTATTATTTCAAAAGCGTGATATGGCATGGCTTGTTATCGTAGCTATTAAAAAATTGTAAAAAAATGAAAACTAAGGCGGTAGAACCTTTAATTTAACAGAAGTCTACCTTTCACAATTATAAAATTTCCATAAATTACGTTTTTCCATATACATATGGAAATAATATAAATCAGGTAAATAATCTGTTCGGGAGTGAGCTAAGATCACACTATATCGCGTATAGTCACTCACACAAACGCCGAAATCAAAGAAAACGAGAGGAAAATTAAATACAATTTTTAGTGAGGATGAATAGTCGCCCAGGATGAATTGTCGCTGATGAGTTGTCGTGGGCTGTCGCAGGATGAGTTTTCAAAGGATGAGTAGTCTGGATCCCGGGTAGGAGGGGAGGGGGGGGGGCCAAAATTNGAGGGGGGGGGGGGGGGTCCAAAATTTTGGGTGTTGGCATTTTTTTTATCATGTACTATAACATACCGAAAGCGCGTCAAGATTAGTGACATACGTGCGAACGAAAAGTTAAAAAATTAATATTCTGACCCATATATAAATGGGTCAGAATCAGAATTTTTAAAATAAACCTGGGGACGAGGTCCACGGATTTTTCTGGAATTTTGATATGTTATAGTACATAATAAAAGAGTCCTAAAACTCAAATCTTAGACCCCCTCCCCCCTCCTACCCCCCACCCCCACTATAAAAGTCTATTTTCTATTCATATTTATTCTGAAGCCCGAGTATGTACTCTACGGGAAGGGATGAGAAAAAAGTAATTTTGAACATAAAAATCCTCGATGTCAACAGGTTAATAATTAAGTATTTCTCTATTGATGAAATATAATTAGTAGAACCAGTATATCAATGAAATCGTTGTCATTAAAATTTTAACATAAAAAAATGTTACAGGAAATTTAAAAACACAAAGAAAAAAAGATGGAACTTTGAGCAGAGTTCAAAAATTGAAGAAACGGTTGAGCTTAAGTTTTGGACGCCTGAGTAAGTATAAAAAACTGAAAATGTATTTAACATTAAACTGAATCATAAACTAGTAGTTATTGTGAAAGTTGATTAAAAATGTATATTATTTATTGGCCCTCTTTATAAGGATAAAATTATGATGTTTTAATTTTTTGACACAAGGAAAAAAAGTATTCGTAACGAAGTATGCATTTTTTGTGCGTGCATGTCGTTAACTCGTGTTGGGCCAACGGACAAAATTTCACACATTTTTCCTGGCGTTGCGAACTAATTGTGAAAAAGTATCTGAGAAATGTTTAAGGGGGGAAAGGCACCTAAAATCTAAAAAAAAAAAAATTTTTTTTCATTGACTTTTTTGATAGGATTTTTCCTCGGCTTTCCAGTACCGTGATCGGAATTTTAAAATTTTAACTGTACCGTGATGTACAGCTTATTTAGTACCGATAATTTTACGATTATTTAGAAAAAATGAATGAAACGACTCAAAGATATATCGTGGCCATTCTCTCATGAATCTCGAGACTTTCATAAGTCCGTAGCGCCATCTATTGATACTCGTTTTATTCTTTGGTTAGAGTACATCTAGCAGAAATTTGTTTATTTACATGGCTATAGGTGTACAGTAACGCCACCACTCGCAGCACGTGGGTTTCGGCATATCTTCTGTCTCTCTCTGTTTCGTGCACGAGCCCTGATCAAATGTCAACAACAGTCTGCTGACTGCTTCTTGATTTTCCAATGGCTAAAAATTACATTTTTTTTAAAGTGAAAAAAGTATATGTAGAGTGCAATTTTATCTTTGCAACTCAACATAGTGTTTCATAATAAAGCTATGAAGAAGTTTCAATAGCTTTTTATAAAAATGTGACATTTTTAGCAGTTCTAATTCAAGAAATACAGAAGTATTACATATGTAAATTGACATATATGGTGCATTATTTCAAAAGTGTGATATTTGGAGTGGGTAAAATGGGCAATATTGGAAAAATTGAAAAACTTATTTTCTTCTATTTTGAGTTTAATTTTTCCGGACCCCCGTAGTTTCTGACACTTGATTCTTTGTTTTTTCATGGAATATTCACTTTTTACCGGCCATCATCTAATCCGTTTATTTTCTTATTGCAAACATGAAAATTTGTCACGGAGGGGACACTCACGGAGGGGACAAATCGCACTTTCATCAAATTTCACGACGACAACAAAGTTGAAAATTTTTTTTCCGATCAAGCACAAAAATTGTTTGTAAAGACGAACGTTTTTACGCCAGCAGATTCAAAAATAAAAAGTGCTAGCTCAAAAACTCGTCGATCACGGAGGGGACACTTTATTTTACTAGTACGATTTTCGTGTGCAAGTATTGTTATAGCGAAGCTGCAACTAAGATTTGAATATTCTACGGGTAAAAATCGAGTACTTTAGTTCTGAAAGATGACCCTCGTATAGTTAGAGAGGTCAAAATTATTGTCTAGCACGTTTACTGGCACTATATTTGTAATGATGTAAAATTTCACATAATTTAAGGACACATTTGTAACTTATATACAATTGTTTTGAGACTATTTAAGATGACGAGTCATACAAAAAAACTTTCTTTAGGATGTATAGAATAAGGCCCATGTATCACAATATTGCTGGATACTTGTAAAAATATTTTTAATGAGTGAAAACAATCGATTCTGAGTTCAGGACAGGTCACGGAGGGGACATTTGGTGTGTTTATCTGGCTGGCAAATCGATGTGGTCTTTTTTTATGGAAATTTTATAGTTGCGGAAGGTAAAATTGGGTAAAATGAAAGGTTCTACCGTCTTAGTTTTCATTTTTTCAAAGTTTTCTAATAGCTACAATAACAAGACATGTCATATCACGCTTTTGAAATAATGCACCATATACATCAGTGTATATGTATGTCACTGTACTTTATGTATGTGTATATGACTGTATCATATATATTATTGTATGTTGCATGTGATGAACAAGATAAGTGATAATTGATCAACTTGTAGTAATTTATTTCCAAGTATCTAGTGATAAATGTTTTATGAATGTTAGTGAATAAGTAGAAGACTGGGTTCAAGTTCTAATGTGAGATTGTGTATATTTGTGTGAAAAGTTGATTTAGACATAATCAACTTAGTTACCAGTTTCTACATAAAACCCATATTAGCGTATACTAACATTTTAGTGCAACTTATAAAATGTAGTAATGAAATTGGCGCATTTGGCTTTGTGTGGCTGTCTGGGATAATTGAACATTGTCCTTGTGGGTCCAATATGTTGAAAATTCAAATTCAATTACCGTTCTTTATCGTCCAAAAAGTTTTAAGCAGCCTCAGTGACATGAGAGTGTCATTATGACATATATTGATGTATTTTGGTTTTTTTCAACTCTTGGGCAGTTATGTTTTATCTCAAAATTGCTTTGTTGCCGTAACTTTCCATGAAAACCGTTTGAGCAAATGAGCTGAAATTTTCAGGGATTGTTCTACATGAGAATGGCTACAAATGCAAGCACTTTCAAAGGTATTGGGACAAATGAGCACTTTTTTCAGGCTATGATGTAGCATAATCTGTCGTTTTATCATATATATTAATGAATAAATGTGTATATGTGGCTGGCAAATTGTGTATAACTAATTAAAAAATCTGAAAGTGCTTGCGTTTGTAACCATACATCTAATGATCAAAATGAGACCCCAAGAACCATGATTGAACCATCGGTTCTAGCTGGATCCTACGGCACAGGGGTACCTGTCAGGACTGTGGGCTTGCTTCATCGAGGAGGGTTCTATGGTGACTGGGACCTCAATTTTCATATTCCAGAGTGAAAAAATTTGAAAAAAGAGTGAAGAAAACAGAGTTTTCTCTGTATATTCCAAAAAAAATTTTTTTCTTCATAATTAATAAATTTTTCATAAATGTAGGTTTAAGGTACCTTTCCCCCCTTAATTAATAACACAGCTCTAAAAAAAAAAAAAATTTCAAATCCACCGACCGGACCTAGTGGACTTTATGTTTATGGGGTCGCTGAATCCGAATCCGGGGTCGGTTTTTCAAGGTTGGTTCATTTTAGAGGTCATTTGAAGGTCAAATAATAGGAAAACGGTAAAAAATCTGAAAAAATTCATACATGGGTTTTTAAGGATGCTGAATTCAAATCCGAGGTCGGATGACCTTTAGGAGGTCACTTTCAAGGTCATTTGAAAATATCCGAAAAAATCACCCTTATGTTTTGAGGGTCGCTCATTCTAAATCAGAGGTCAGTTTGACTGTATCCGGCCTTGTAAAGGTCATTTGAAGGTTATTTTATGGTCAGATCACGAAAAATGCTTAAAAAAATCTGAAAATACTCATTCAGAGGTTTTTAAGGATGCTGAACTCAAATCTGAAGTCAGATGACCTCTATTAAGTCACCTTCAAGGTCATTTTAATGTTAAATTTATTTAATGCGATAAAATATTGGAAGAAGTTTGTGTTTAGTTTTTTAAAACTGAATTAATTTTTTAGTCTGAGACCTTTAGCGAGCTTACATTCTGGGATAGAGCTGCTTTTTTCCCTACTTAATAAATATAATACATTTTTTCTAAGCTATATCCCCGCAGTAAAGCAACCAAAAAATCTCTTAATTTTTTAACAATCAATTTTTACTTCCGTTATTATAAAGTTTACCTTAATTTTGTTGACATAGCTTCAGGTAAATTTTTCTTTATATGTGAATATAATATAGGCTATTTTATTTTTCACTATAGAATTGGGTCACAAAATTTGAAAAATTCTTCATCAATGGATTTTTCTTTGATTAAAACGAATGTATTTTAAAATTTTGTGAAACAATGTCTGAGAGTGTAAAAATAAATTCACTATAAGTATATCCTTATGACAAAGTAGAGATGAGCCAGGTGGATCGGCATATCTTTTCATATTAATGCACCGTTTTCGTTCGTGACATTGATATGGAGAAATATGCGGCTCTTTTAACTTACCTCTCATTCTGACACACCTTTTTCTCTTCTAGTCTTTACCTGCTGCCTCGATAAGTTTGATGTCGGTGAAATGAAATGTAATATGTCATATAAACTGCATTTCTGACATAACCATTCAAATCAGTTTCCGGAAATCTGTGGTGATTTTAGTAACGAGCATGGAAAACGATTCCATCAAGACATGAAAAGTATGGAGCAGCGGTATCAAGGTAGATGGGATGTTTCGATGATGGCTGATCACTGCTGAATGTTGAAGAGAGTCAAAATAAGAAAGGCAAAAAACGCAAACGAAAACCATTACGCCGTTCGTTTGAAGAAAAAAAGATGCGTTGCGAAAAAAAAGTAAAAACGCATGCAAAATTAAGAATATTTTCTTAATTTTTTACTTCCTTGTATTAATTTAAAGTTGAAATGACCTTGAAGGTGACTTCATAGAAGTCATCTGACTTCAGATTTGAGTTCAGCATCCTTAAAAACCTCTGAATGTGTATTTTCAGATTTTTTAAGCATTTTTCGTGATCTGACCCTAAAATAACCTTCAAATGACCTTTACAAGGCCGGATACAGTCAAACTGACCTCTGATTTAGAATGAGCGACCCTCAAAACATAAGAGTGATTTTTTCGGATATTTTCATTGAATTCTTGTAGTTTGACCTTCAAATGACCTTGAAAGTAACCTCCCAAAGGTCATCCGACCTCGGATTTGGATTCAGCATCCTCGAAAACCCATGTGTGAATTTTTTCAGATTTTTTACCCTTTTCCAATTATTTGACCTTCAAATGACCTTGAAAGTAACCTCCCAAAGGTCATCCGACCTCGGATTTGGATTCAGCATCCTCGAAAACCCATGTGTGAATTTTTTCAGATTTTTTACCCTTTTCCAATTATTTGACCTTCAAATGACCTTGAAAGTGACCTCCTGAAGGTTATCCGACCTCGGATTTGGATTCAGCATCCTTAAAAAACCATGTATGAATTTTTTCAGATTTTTTACCTTTTTCTTATTATGTGACCTTCAAATGACCTCTAAAATGAGCCAACCTTGAAAAACCGACCCCGGATTCGGATTCAGCGACCCTAAAAACATAAAGTCCACTAGGTCCGGTCGGTGGATTTGAAAATTTTTTTTTTTGTAGAGCTGTGTAATTTACGATGAAAAATTTTATGAACTTTCCGAATTTGATGTCATAATTGTTAAAAAAGCTTATGAATAAAATGTTCGGACATTTAAACAACAAATAATAAGAATAATTTAAAAAAAAATTTATGAGACCCAAACTTTCGAATCGAAGGAATCTTTATCCATAGGTCTTATGCGTATTTTTTGCATATGAAAATTGCGCCTTGTAAAGAAAAACACCATGTACGTGTGAAATGTGTAAAATTTCGACCGTTAGGTAGGAAATGGGTTAATATTCACGTTTCAAACGAGCACTACAGGTTATAGCTCCTAACAGTTATGCAAAGCCGCTCAATTAATTTAACACGACTCCAAGTGCAACGAAAGGTACAGAGTAAAGGAAAAGTGGTTTTCTCGTATTATACGAGTACGGGTTTTTCATTAAATTTAATGTAAATCAACACTCATCTTGTGGCACGGCATTTTTTCCTTCATATGAGCTGAAATTTTGCAGAGATTATTTTTTGGGTTGTTTGAAAACATTGAGGGGGCGTCCCGACGATTTGAAAAAAAATTTTTTTATAGCACTGTGTGGCATAGGTTAAGAAGTGAGGTTAGCGCACGAGCGTATACGAGTGTGATGCGAACGCAGCGGTGCCAGAATGTGCGACTTATGCCACAGAAAAGCGTGCCATAAATGTGAACTTATGCCATAAAGTGCTATAAAAACTATTCATGAATGCACATTCAGTGCAAATCTCGGGCGGTGATTAACGAGCGACATAACCTGCACACAACAGCTGATCAATATAGTACGAGAACAGCGAGCTGACGCACCTGCCTAGGGACTATTTAGTTAGGTTAGCTCTTGTTACTTTCATCGTACGCGAAACTAAGAAAACTTGACTAGAGTAATACTCGGAAGTATCTTTTTAAGCTTTATACATAAAACTTGAGTTCAGAAGAGATTAATGGATTTTCCTTGGACTTATTTCTTGTGCCAAGCAAAAATAAAAAAAGTTTCACTGTTAAAAAAGCAAATATTACTAATAAAGTATCGTTTCTTCTATATTTTTAATGAGATACTATGCTAAACGAGAATGCGCACAAGTGGATAGTTCTTTATTTTAGTAGAGCTTTTAAGAGTTTAAAATTTTTTACTAATTTCTTTTGTAATTTTAGCAATTGCTAAAGATGATTCTGACGATCCAGTTGATCATTGCAATGTACCTTACAATGGTTATTCAGAAGAGTTTTTGGATAGACTTGAACCAAATCGCATTTTATCAACTAATAATCAAAGACAATTTGGTAACATTGTATTTTAAATATTTATAAACTTAATATTTTAAACTAATCGTTAAATATATTTAGGTTGGAAAAATATCGACGATTTAGATAGAGTACATCGGCAACTATCGGTTTCTAGTGACTCTAAACTTTTAGATGAAGATAGTCGAGAAGAAACAAAAGTGATATTACGTCCTCGACGCCTTCAAAGACCAAAATCTGAGGTTTTTATAGGTGACTCCCTTCCAAAACGGAATAAACGATTTTCGGCATTTGGGGTGAGTACATTTATTTTGTTACAGTAAGATAGTCGTACCTATTTATGACAAAGTTTCGAAAAAAATCACTTGCATTCTTTGACAAATTCAAAAACTTTTTCTGTTGTGTAATTTTTTGCCATAGCCTTCTGTTTTTGTGACAAAATATTGCACAGATCAACAAGTTGATGAAAATTGATAAAAAATATAACTAGAAATGAGTAAGAACGGTCCTTGGCTCAGTAAGTTAGCGTGCTAATTACATGTAATGAAACAATGCCGTTCAAGCCGTAGGTTCGGTTCTCTTTGAGGGAACGTAACGCTGCTGTTTTGGAGCCATGCCTCTATTTACGGTCATGTCCCCATATTTGGTCAATAATTATTATTAACAATTTAATTGTACGTAAGAAAATTTTTTTTAAAAATTGATTAAACGATTCGAACATCTTTATCAGAAGTATAATTATTAGAATTCAGATATTAAGTTTCAATCCTGAAGAAAAAATTAATTCAAAGTTGACCGAAAATATGGACACAATGAAGAACTTTCCGAGCAACTGATGCTCGGGCCAAAGAGCGCTGCGAGCGCCATTGATTCAGCATAGCGTCCGTTCCGGAAACGAGGCTCCCCCTCCCCGATGACAGGTACACTTTGCATTTCGTGGATCGGAGTAAATGAGCAAATCCATGAGCAAATTTTAAGCTCCTCGAAACGCATTCAAATAAACACAACTTTCACATAATCGCTGTCACAGAAACTTTTTTACAATCTGATCATGATACAAATGTGTACAATCTTCCGAATCTCAACTTTTATCATCAAGATCGCACTGGACGGGAGGGTGGCGGCCTGGGACTATATGTCCGTGAAGATTTTGCAGTAACGCAGCTTGTTACCTCCGAATCTGAATACTCCAACACGCCTGCGTTTGCTATTTACGCCGTCTCTCGTGGCATAACCAGATTTCTGGTGGCAGTTGTCTATCGCCGACCCACTGCTGCCTACCCTCATCTGTTTCTTGACACGTTATCTGAGCTCCTACCTTAATATAATGATGTAATCACACTCGGAGACTTCAACATCAACGTAGCAAAGTCCACCAACAGGCACGCTCTCTCTTTGAAAAAGCGCATTGCGCCTTACAATCTGCATATTCTCAGCTGTGAACCCACTCACCACGTCACTTACAGCACTGACGACTCGCTGCATCGACCTTGCAATAGTGAGGAGGCCAGAGCTTGTGAAGAATTTTACTGTGTGCCCTGACCCCTTCGCTGCGGGACATCACTTCATCAGTTTCGACTATCGAGTCCAATTGCCACCTTCAGAAACTTCAATTCGATTCACACGCAGCATCTCGAGAATCTCTCCCTCCACCTTTCCAATAGCTGCAGCATCTAAAATTAACAGTGATAACGACTTGGAGAGTCTGTCACACACGAGCACGCATCTCGGCGATGATCAGGCGACGATCGACCGACTTGTGTCTAGAATTACCAAAGGCATACTCGAGGTACTCGATGACACTGCCCCTCTCCGACAGACCAAGCTGAAGTCGGGCACCAGGCCTTGGGTCACGCAAGAGCTGCGCGAGCTTATGAGCCTGAGAGACAGAACGTATAGGTCCCATCTTTGTAGCCTCTCTGCGTCGACGCTTGCGCGCTTCAAGCAACTCCGCCGTACTATAAGAAACAAGCTTGACACTGCCAAAAATGCATATATAGCGATACACTCGCATCGGCCTCTTCGCCTGCGGATTATTAGAGGACTTTGCGTGGCACAGGAGTCGCTTCGCACGGCACACCTTCGGACCAGCCTGGCCATGAGAGCTTCAGTTTTCGTCATGTGACTTCGTGGGATGTAGAGACGGCCATGATGAGGTGTAAATCGTCTAGCTGTGGCTCTGACGGTGTTTCAGCCCGTGTGTTGTGACTGGCCTCGCCTACACTCTATGGCCATGTTGCGGAGCTTCTCAACCTCTCTTTCGACGCGGGCGTCTTCCCTTCTGTGTGGAAGCATGCGTCGATCGTTGCTTTGTCCAAGGTGCCTTTATACCCGCAACTCCATCTGACACTCGCCCTATCTCTCTACTGCCGGAGATGTCGAAGATTCTTGAGCGTCTTGCCCGCGCCCAGCTGACTGACTTCCTTGAGCAGCGTATTCTGCTTGATGAAAGGCAATATGGTTTCAGAATGGGGCATTCGACACAAACTGCACTTCTCGAACTCACCGGAGCTGTGCGAAACGCTATTGAGAAGAAGAAGGTCACTCTCCTTGTGTCCTTCGATCTCTCTAAGGCCTTTGACACCATTGATCATGGCCTGCTCACTACGAAGCTGAGACAGATGGGCTGCAGCGATCTCGCACTGCGATGGTTCGCCAGCTACCTGTGCGACAGGCGCATGTCTGTACAGCGCGCCGATGGCACCTTGACCCAATCATGCGCTACAACTTCTGGGGTGCCTCAAGGGTCTGTGCTCGGCCCGCTCTTATTCGCAATATTTGTTAACGACCTACGCACCGTCCTTCACCACTGTAATCACATCGTATACGCTGATGACACGCAAATCTACGCGCATGATTACCCTGACCGTATTCTGGAACTCATCGCTGCAGTCAACTCCGACGCTGAGTTGGTCGCTGCCTGGGCGCCTCGCTGTGACCTCCGACTCAACCCGAGCAAAACAACAGTGCAACTACTCGGCAGCCTCGCTTTTTTGACAAAACTCAAAGCCTCATGGCTTCCTAAGATAGCGGTTCAGGGAACTCACATCGAGCACTCTCCAATTGTGAAGACACTTGGCATCAAGCTTACTCTACAGTAATCTGTGTTGTGAATTGTGTGGAGATCCACTGTATTAACTGATTCGACTGTGCCATCTGCTGTGAAGTCTATGGATACGTATTGCGATAGTTTATTCCTGCTAAAATGACAAGCACTGGAGCTTCACTGCAGCACGAGCTTCCACCTCAACTTGCTGACTTCCTTCTGCGTCTTGACACGAAGCTTGACAACCTCTCAGCGCACCTTATGACCATCGAAGCGTCGATTTCCCGGCTTGAAGGCCGTATTGTGGCTCTTGAGACGCGGTCGGAACAGCAGGCCGCCGAAATGGCCGACATCCGCGCTGACATCGTCGGATTGAAGAAATCAGCTAGCTCTGGCTCTGCTTCTGGCCCTGCTCCTGTCCTGCCTAACTTACTGCCTTCACCGACTGGTTCACATCTGTTGGACCCGTGTGAGATCCTACTCACTGGACTCCCGACAGATGTGAGTTTGACTGACAGGGAGGCTCTCGACAAAGTCTTCTCTGGAATCGGACTTAAAAACTACAGCAGGTTTTTGGTTCATACTCGTGCATGGATCCCCAAAAACAGATGCAAATCCGCGCCTGACAACACCAGAGCATTCGTGTTCAAACTGTCGTCTTCAAGTACTCGTGACCACTGCATAATGAATGCGTGTAAGCTAGCCTCAATAAATACTAGTACACTTTTCGGAGTGGGTGATGGCAAAGTGAAATTGCGACCCTTGTGGTCAAGTGAACTTTAAAATTTGCTCAGGAAAGCTTATGATGTAGCTCAAAAGCTGAACTTTGCTCCACCAATAGTGTGAAATCTCACCGTTTTTACGCGTGAAGCCAATTGATTCGAAACCTATCCCCATTTCAACCGAACAAGACATCAGAGCGTTTAAGGCGATGCCGAGATGATGACATCCACGCAACGTTACACCAGAATACACTCATTTTTGCGACAACTACTGTATACTACTACCACTGCTACTACTAGTGCTATTATATACTATTGACACTACTCATATGTGCCAATACCCCTATATACTGCTTCTACTGTTACTATTATTGCTACTACATGTTACTACTACTATTACTATTGCATTCTACTATTCACACACATGTATACTGCATAGACGCTAAGTACCACTATTTGTTGAGCCACTTTACTTAACTATAGCTTATGATTAGTATTTGCTGATATAAGTAATATCAGCAATTTTATACATCAATGTAAATACCACTGTGCCGGATGGGGTTTACCCTGTGGCCAAATAAAGTTATTCAATCAATCAATCAATCACTAGCGACTCCGATCTAACCTCCTCACGTTCTCTCGCTATCACGGCTCGATTGCGAAATTTGTGTGCACTGTCGTGCATCTCCACCACGCATCAACGTGCGAGGCGCTGAATTTGCGTGAGTTAAAGCTACGCTTCAGTGTACTTGGTCCAAGCAACAAATCTAAAGTTAGTTTGGTTCTTCCATTGCCCTAAACACACCTCAAACACGCGCTTGGGTGTTATCACAATTTCCCTACCTTATCGGTTTCGTCGGTCGTGCAACATTCTCATGCATTCATAAGATTGTTCTCGCAACATTGGTGTTATTGGGCGCTCAGTGATATAGTCACAACGTCTAAAGATAGTATATTAGTAAGATATTCGTGATCATCATTTTTGATTAATTATAGGAATTGAAGTAATTATTTTCTCTCGTGAGAATCAGACGATTGTACTCGCCTTCGCTTTGTGCATAGCTTACCCGTTGCCTGAAGTACTATTTAGACGCGTTATTCTTAAAAATTTAAATAGAACAATTGTTAGCGAATCGATTTAACATAATTAGTAGTTAGATACTAGATGATGACTGAGTTGTAACTCGTTAATAATATGTTCAATACACAGATTCATTTAATCATAAAATTTAATTATATTGAAATGAATTTCCAGGGAGATTCGCCATTTGGAAAATCAGAAGCTTATATAAAACTAGAACAATTGGGTGAAGGCTCCTACGCAACAGTATTCAAAGGCTTCAGTCACTTAACAAACCAAATTGTAGCTCTTAAAGAAATAAGACTGCAAGAAGAAGAAGGCGCACCTTTTACTGCCATACGAGAAGCGAGCCTGCTAAAAGAATTAAAGCATAATAATATAGTCACATTACATGATATAGTGCACACTCGAGAAACATTGACATTTGTTTTTGAATATGTTCATACGGACTTATCACAATATATGGAACGTTATGGAAGTGGCGGAGGAGGCCTTGATCCGCGTAATGTAAAATTATTTCTTTTTCAACTTTTACGTGGGCTAACATACTGTCATCGCAGGTAATAAAATAACTTATCATATTTTAATAATAACTTATCATTTTTTAATAATGAAAATTTCAATAGTACTGATAACTTGAAACTTCTTCAGAGTAATAAGCGAATGATTTAAGAACTTGCAGTAGTCCGTTTAATATTACTTGACGGTAAAAACAGTGCATGCGTTGACAAGTCTGATGACTTCGCATTTCTCGTCTTGTAACTTATCGGTAACTGTGTGGAGTATTTACTGATCATGTAAAATATTCTTACTACTCATTATTTCAAAATCTTCAAAAGAATCAATATCTTATTGAACAGTGGGCCTAAATTAAGATGTAATAATCGTACAGACTGCATTTACTTAGTTTCATTGTTGTGTAGCTGTGAACGAAATTTCAGATAAAAATATTGAAAATTAAAATAAGTTTTCCATCAGTTTTCCCCAGTTATTCTGGTATTCTGTAGGATATTTCCTGACAGGATCATCGGAAATCAAAAATTCGACATATTTCTCAAAGTTTATACTGTAGGCTAGTGATGGAACGAAGGAAACGCAAATAAAATAACATTTTATAATTTATTTTCATTTTCAATATTTTTATCTGAAATTTCGTTCCCAGTTTTTTCAACGCACAAACTTCATAGTGTAAAAATTTCAAATTGATTAGACTTTTGGTTTTTGAAATATAATTAAAAAAAAAAGAAGAAATTATTTCCGTCACAAAAAGCTATGTGACTCCTTAACCCTTTAACCCCTGAAATGACCATTTTTGGACAACATTTACAGCGATGAATTACACCGACTAAAAATTGTTTAAAAAACTTTTCAGATATCATTTCATAAGTAAAATTAAATGTACTTTTCGAATCTGGGGTCAGAATTTTCAAAAATTTATTTAATAAAAAGTTATAACGAATTTTGTAAAAAAAAACATGAAATTTCAAGAAAAAAATCTCGTTTAACTCAAATCTCAACACGGAAAGAAGGTTCGCTCGAGCGTCTCTCGCATATAGATTTGATCAATGGCATGTATACTTTAATGTAAAATAGTTATAATTATGAAATTCAATATGGCGATCATAAATTTGACTCCTGTAAATCTGTATGTCATAAAATGATTTCGACAATTATAACTCGATAACCATCAATTTTACGGAAAAAAATTGTAGAATAAAATGTGTTTAGAATTAATCCTAAATATTTTTAATATTCTATTTACAGTATTAGGCTGTAAAAGTGAAAAAAAATTTTTTTGAACAACAGGCATAACAGCCTCTTTCAATAGACCATTTAAAAGTACTTTGTCTACTTGGACACTTATAAACAGTTAAACACACTGATAAAAGTCTAAAGATCTTCAAATATAAGCATTTTGTGATGTTAATTATCTTGTCAAATGAAATTATACTTAACGTCAATTTTTAATATCTCCTGTGTCATATTATTTGATATGTCTCAAAAGGTAAAAAATTTTAATTCGTTATGGGCCAGGCATACCCACTAAGTCGGTATCCAGTACCGAATTATTTTGTCCTCATTTTTCTCAATATAATTAATGAATCAATCATCTGGAAACTTTGTGATAGCGTTCAAGAGATTGATTCAAATTTATTGTTGTATTGTGATTTTCATAACCTCTATGAACAAGATATTTCAATGTAGTTAATTTACATAAGCTTCTAAGACAATTCGGTGGAAATAAGACTGCATGCATAATTGTATCAACCTCCTTAACTTAATAATAGTATAAAGATAGAAAAAAATTTCATTTACACAAGAAAAAATCAAAAATAAATCTCAAAGATCACTTTTTCTGTACCGAGTTTTTCGAGATATTTAGCTCAGCATGTTTGATATCGATTTTCTTGGTGAATGTGCAACGTATCGGAAAAGCTGAAAAATGTCTGCAATATTTCGTAAAAAAATCAAATAAACAAAATTTTTATAATAAATGCAATATGCCTTAGGATTCTTATATTTTTAATACTTTGATAATAAGTTTATATGAACTTTGAACTTTGATTTCTTTAAAGGTATAATTGAATTATTTTTAATTCACAGGAGAGTTCTCCATCGAGATGTCAAACCACAAAATTTACTAATCAGCGAGATCGGAGAACTGAAATTAGCTGATTTTGGATTAGCTCGGGCCAAATCAGTTCCATCCCATACCTATTCACATGAAGTTGTTACGTTATGGTATCGCCCTCCCGATGTTCTTTTGGGTTCAACTGAATACTCAACTTCTTTGGACATGTGGGGTGTTGGATGTATATTTGTTGAAATGATAACTGGTACACCAACGTTTCCCGGAGTTCGATGTACTTACGATCAACTGGATAAAATATTTAAAGTACTAGGTACTCCTACAGAAGAATGTTGGCCAGGTGTGAGCCGTCTTCCAGCTTACAAACCTAACAAATTAACATTTTATAAAAAGAAAAAGCTTGGGCTCTCGTTTCCTCGGTTGTATGATTCAGCTGACGTTGAAAGTATGGCAACTTCATTACTTCAACTAAATCCAGAAAAAAGAATTGGAGCTAAAGAGGCACTAGAACATCCTTACTTCAAATCTTTACCGACAAAACTATATGAGTTGCCTGACGGTAAGAAAAATTTATATAAATACATTGATGACCTATGAATTTTCAAATGGCAATCATTTTGCTTTAAACTTTTATAAATATTTGACATTTCCGTTGAAAACATAAAAAAAAGAGAAATTTTCAAAGAAGGATTGATAGAGAGAAGAAAAAAAAGGTTAGAAAACGAAATTTTTTTAAACTGATTTTGGAATCACCCTAATTTGGAAATTTATAGTTTGCGGTATAAAATTATGTTATCAAAAATCATCCATCAAAAACTGTGACTCTAATGTCTTTGATTACTTGAAATAGTTCTAATCCCATCTTTGATGAATTATGATTCCACAAGTACTTTTTATGCTTCTGATCCAATTTTCTCTGCCACATGCTTCTGATCACAGTTTTGGATCAATCTCGATAAAAAAGGACTAATCTTTGTTATACTTTTTCTTTCACTTAAAAAGGCTCTACACATAATACAAAAGATCATCCAACAAGATAAAACTTATATTAATCGATTTGTTAGATCTTCAAAATGAGATTCCATAAAAAACATGTGGTTGACGATCAAACTTTCGAGATAAACAAGTTTGAAAATGGTGATTTTAATACGAGCTCTTATGGGACGCGGTCTTTTATTGCTTACAACTAATTTAAAAGATCAACCATCTTAATAAAAAATATATTTTCTGAAAAAGAAAGTTCCAAGCTTTCGATTGGTATGTTAAAAATTACCCCTTACCGAACTAACTAATGAGTAATTAAACAAAATGTGCGTAAAATCATTGATTTCGAATAGTGTGAGAGGTTGTCTGCCCAATGCGAGAAAGAGACAGACAGATGCCTTGCTGTACTATTATTATGATTACTGAAGAGCCACCTTAAGTAAAGCAAAGTTTCAAGAAAAGACCATGAAAATTATGTGCTCATTAAAATACCAAAAATTTATATTTTACAACATGAATTGCAATATATTCGGACTGGGAAAGAGAGCGAACAATTAAGACAGTTATGAGTTTCAATTAGGTAGGCATAGTAATTTACAAAGTTTTTGAAACCCCAAAAATTGCAATTACTATTATTTAGCAAAGCACTCGTGTGAAATCATAATTGATTTTTTTTCTCATATTTTCAATTATCAGTTTTAATACAGGAGCTTTACGGCTGATGTAGTATCATCATTGAATATTTGTTTTATTATATGCGATTTTTCGTCTTGAAATGATCAGTTGTAAATGAACGAAGCTTCAGATAAAGTGAAGATGAGATTTGTAATACTTATAAGATGAAATATCTGACAAATTTTATTTATCTGTTATAGATCTTTGGCATATATCTTTTACTTAACACAAAATATATCTTAATTTTCAGAAGTATCAATATTCACAGTCGAAGGGTGCCACTTGTTTCCAGAATCAAAATTGACTTATACGGATTCAGGATATGTTGTTTTGAAAACATGAGTTTTTCTATAAGTATTAATGCTAATGAAAGGCAATAAACTCAATTGAGATAAAAAGGATGGAAGTTTAGAGGAGAATCATTTACAAGTAGATTGTATATCTTAAATTATCATACAATTTTATTACGAAAAATTTTTTTTAAATATGTAAATATTATTAATATGTTACAATAATCGTGTAAAATAATCTTGTTATTATTCATTAAAATGTAGGTAATGGAATTATTGTTTGTGTATGTCGAAGGAGAACTACATGAATTTTTTATACCTCATTGTTAAATTTTAAGACCTAAAATTATTTTCCTGGTAAACAGAAATGTGTATACCGATTAATGTACGTCATAATCATTTTAAAAAGCATCAATATCAGTCATTGAATAGTAAAGTATAATCAGATAACGCCGAATGCCGTGTAAAAAAGAAAACTTTCATAATTATTAGCCTAAATTGTTAATAAATTTTTTTTAAAGGCTTTTGTTGCTTAAAAGATAAAAAAATGAGGTTTAATTACCATTAGCAAAATGTTCAGTAAATCTGTGTTCAGGAATAATTTGAAAGATTTTCATCATTAACGTTGGTTTAAAGACTTCTTTCAAGAGTTGAGTGTGTTAAAAATGTTTTACTCATGATTGAGTATGCGTATAGATTTGAAGAAATATATGCCGCTTTTTGCTTGTGATGAAAAATTTAAATTAATGAAAATACGTTTATTAATCGGTAAATTTACGATTTTTCGAAATTACTCGACTTACTTGGTTATCAGTTGCTGACTTTTGAAAGACAGCGATTTAGCGTGATGAAATTTTTTGTAAAGGTGTTTTTGGTTACCTAATATTAATAGAAAAATTATAAACTAATTTACATTAAGTATTCTATTGTACATTTTTTTCTAAGGAAAAAAAATTATAATTTATTAGAATTCATTGAATATTTTTAACTTTGAGAGATGTAGTATGACGTGCATTTTCAGTAGGTTCAATACCCATTTTACATTCTGCTATTGTCGAAAGAAGTGTGTTTATATCAATAAAAATTACACATTTACACTTGTCTTATGTTATTTAATGATTTATACTAAAATATGTTATGGGGATTTTAACAGGCTAGGTGATGCCCTGGTAAAAAAGTTTGGTAAGATCTTACGCAGGAACTTACTTAAGATGGTAGGTAATTTCTTACGTAATTTCTTACGTACGATTATCGGTCGATTTTCTTACGTAAGAACTTACATAAGTTCTTACCTGGACTTTTTTGCACAGTTTTTTTTAAAAAAATTAGGAATCGTCTGCCATTTTGGAAATTACTTACATTATTATTTAGAGTGTATTAAATTGCAGACATTAGAGCGGTGAAAAAGTTTCCCGGGACCTTTTTTTTTTTTTTAAAGTTTATTCATGTTGATTGGATACAGTAGTTCATGTCCACTGTAAAATGGGCTCAACCAAAACTTAAACAAAGGCCCTACATATAATATACAGCATAATTACATACATGGCACATTATTGTGCGTCTCGTAGTCAGTAACATAAGTAAGATAAAAACAGTAATATAAATAAAAAAGCATCAAACATAATGCGTTATTGTACAATAGTTTACGTTTTTAAATTGGAACAAAAAATGGTAAATAGGCGATCTATTGATAAGATCACGGCGCCTAAGCCACCAAAAAAAACCACCAAAAATTATATATGTTATAATAAAAAACGTCACAGATAATATGATTATCCGTGAAAAATATTATTAAATAAGGTCAGAACAATAAAAATATTTATAAAATTATAAAAGAATAACATGGTTAACAAAAGAAAAATATACATATAGTAAAAAATAACGTACATAGATTGAAATAATCAAACAATATGTTACGGTAGCCAATGTTATCTTACATCTGGTCTACCACGCATTTCCATAAACATATCCATGATATTGTGCATCCACCAATACTTCGGTTTACCAATGTAATTATTTTCCTTATCAACATCCGTAATAGATGTGGAATACTTAATCATTCCAGGGAGAGGTGGATTAAGGTTAATAGATTTATTGGCTTGATGTCGTGAGACATGATAGATAACTGGTATATTATTGTCGCTCTGAATGATATTCCTCCTACTGTCATAAAACATAAAGCTATGAGGAGAGATATATCCTGAGCGAGCTGTTTCAGTCGCAAGACGTTCGTCAAATAGAATAAAATCTTTAATATAACAGTTATTAACACTTCTCAAGCCGGCCATGTAGTCTCGGACCAATTTTAATATAAAATTATCAATACGAGGCACACAGGCCTTGTTATAAATAGCAATATTGCTGATATAATGTGCATCAAAATCGCGACGGTACACGTACAAGCACACACGCAAGATCTGCCGCTCAAACTTTCTTAGTCTCTCCATGACTGAGGCACTGAGGTTCCACAAAATTGGAAAACCATATATAAAAGTTTATATTTTTCAACTAGTTTTTATATCATCATGTTAATATAAATATTGTTTGATAAAAGCATTTGAAAAAATTCATACACACATTTTATTTATATAACTTTTTTGATGGCTCTTGTATAACCAATCAATGGCTCAAGCGGTAGGGCCTTGTGGCCGATTGATCACCGGTTTAATCCCAGGCCCCGGGAAACTTTTTCACCGCCATAATGTCTACAATTTAATAAACTCTAAATATTAATGTGAATAATTTCAAAAATGGCCGACGATTCCTAATTTTTAAAAAAAAAAACTGTGCAAAAAAGTCCAGGTAAGAACTTACGTAAGTTCTTACATAAGAAAATTGACCGATAATCGTACGTAAGAAATTACGTAAGATCTTACGTAAGTTCTTACCTACCGTCTTAAGTAAGTTCCTACGTAAGATCTTACCAAACTTTTTTACCTGGGTACTGCCCTCTCGATCTTAACTTCGTCGACGTCAAAGAAAATGTCACGATTATATAATATTAAAAATTAAGAATAAAAATTATCAATTCAAAATTTAATCTATATAACTAGCGACTTACCTAGCTCGGTTTAGTCAGAGTTTTGTAAGAATTTTTAAGAAAGCAAGAAATATAAAATAAGTTTGTACAAGATATATACTGTGACGATGTCACTGGCGACAAGAACCGCTCGTTTTGTGTGAATGCCGCGTATGCGTGTGACGGGCGACCGACCGACAGACCGTGCAGGGTGAAGGAAGAGCCGAGCGCTTCTAACCTCTGCACGCCGTGACAGAGTAGGCACGTGCGTTACCGGCCGAGAGACGCGGCGACAAATCGCAACAACAGCAGCAGCAGCGCAACAACACGAGCGAGGAAGAAAGAAGACGAAGCGGCGAGACGACGACACGTGAAAGAGCGGCCATTACGTGTTACCGCGCGATCGTATACGCACCTCAGTTTTCGTGCAGCGAGTGAAGTACAAAAAGAGCTCGTGAGCGAAAAAGCCAACGTGTCCGAGGCGAAGTAGAACGACCAGCAAAGCCGAGCCGAGAGAAGTAGCGTATGAGAAGCGTCCGAGGCGAAATACACGGAGATCGCGAGCAAGTCGTGCGCGTCACGTGTCGGTACAGGTTAAGCCTGGTGAGCGACGACCGAGCAGTGCAGCAGATAGTGTGTCGTGCTGTGTGTGCCGCGGAGTGCACGGACCAACTCGTGACGAGTCCGAGGTGGCTACTCGCGAGCGAGAAACAGTAGTACGAGTGCCACGTAAAGTCATTGCCTAGTGAGAGACGGCGCCAATCCAATCCATCCATCCGGACGTAACCTCACCGACAGCCAGCAGCAGTCAGCAGATGACGTCGCAGGAGCGAGCCAAAGACCTCGTAAGCGTAGTCGTTGTTATTAATCGTCATTCTTGGTCGGTCGTGTATGCGTAGTGTCGAGTGGAGTATGTTGTATGTGTGAGTCTGTAGATCGCGTAGTGTTAAGTCGGATCGAGAGTATTCTTGTCGATTTGTAGCAAGTAGTCCGAGGCGAGGTAGTCGCTGTTACGTCGCGCGTGTCGAACGCCAAAACGGCCATCTTTGCATTTCGCCGTGTTCGTCGGCATTTCGCCGCATAGCCGTCGTAGGCCAAGCCACGTAGAGGAATCTCTGTAGTTGCCACGCACGCGTCACGAAATCGGGATTCGCGCAGAGCACGTGTTGTGACTCTGTGACTCCCCTTGGACTTTCGCGAGCGAACTCACGTGGCATTAGGCCTCACGTACAGTGACATACGCGCGAGTGCAAGAGCGTGGCACGATATCGGGATTCGAGCCGAGAGTGCGTTGTGACTCGACCTTTTCTCCTTGGACCTCGTTGCGCGAGTACCCTTACGATCATTTGACGTCACATTACGATAGCGGTTGACTAGTTTTCTTGTAATTAAACCGAATTGAATGGTAATTTGAAACTTGAATAAATAATAGCATAGGAAATAACTCGGACAGTTTTGGTAAATAAATAAGTGACTTTCGATTTCACCTAACCTCCTTTGTGATCATTTCGCGAACCTTTTCGAATCTCTTTCAGCACGGACTCGCCGACGCTCGAGGCGCACTTGGTGGATGGGCTCGACCCCCTTTGAGGTAAGACGACCAGATAGGCTAGCCGGAGCCTCACAGAAATAAATAATTAGACGGCAGGGCGAGTACAGGCTGCTGCCTAGACCCTCGCACGTCACAATACAAGGTATACAGGGTGTCAAAAAAGTATGGAAACCTCTTAAAAGCGGGCATAATATGCAGAGAAAAAAAATCTAACACCTCATATCCGACGTATAGGGAATCCAATAGTGACCTTGGATTTGACCTTGAACATAACCTCAAAGCAACAGCATCCCAATTATCGATTTTTCAAATGGAAGCCCCTATTTTTATTGCAAATTTGAAAAGAGCGGAAAATTTTACGTTGAAACACGTGTAGGTGTTTTTTGCGCACACGGTGCGCAAAAAGCTTGGCACATGTTGAATACAAAATTTTATGCAATAGTAGGCGAAAAATACGTTCATTTAAATGAGGCGTTTTACTGCACACCTGTGTCCAAAATGGAGCATTTTACCGCACACAAGTGTCCAAAAACGCTTTTTGCGCACTAAAAAATGTGCGAAAAAAGACATTTTTCGACATATTATTGCATAAAAATTTTTTTTGGCCCTTCGACTTCACAAATAATCGGCCATATACATTGTAAATACAAGGTATACACTGCCGTTCAATCGCTTTTGCCATACCTAAGAAAAAAATGAGTAAACTTCAAAACGTCATAACTCAGTCAATAAAAGTCGTATCAAGATTTTGAAACTAACGAAACGATGGGTTAACTATAGAGCAATAATTGTATTCGATTTTCAAATTATATTTCATTTATATTGTTACGTGGGAAGGGGTTAAATAAAAGGCGAAATAACTAATTAGGCTCAAAATATATCAGAGGGGAGGGGCCGTTCGCGCAAGGTGTCTCCTCGTCGCTTGATGTACTGATACTGCCGCCGCTGATGAGCTATGCTTATGACTCTCATTGTAGTGCGCCGCGTCACTGGTGGGGCCTTGTCGTCCCACGTGACACGACCGAAGTTGCTACGCGCCGACCCCGGCGCGATATATATTTTTATGGGCCCCTCTTTTGATATTTATTTATTCATCAAAATTTTCATATAATATAAAATATTCATATATAAAAACGATTACAAATTTGATTAATGCCAGTAGGTCTTTTTTCCATTGTCTTCTATTATAACTATTCCTTAAAACTTAAGCTTAGATTGGTCTGCGAGCGGTCAGGCTTACAATTAATATTATTTCAAAATAATAATTTTTCCAATTAAAATTATACCATATATTATTCAATCATCATTGTAGCATAATGAAGCTTCAGCTTAGATTGGCCTGCGAGCGGTCAGGCTTACAATAATAACATTAACATTCTTATTTTAAAAAATTTTGTTTTTTTTTTCTTTCAATTTAATAATAATAAATAAAATGTACGATGATTATTGGTTTTTTTTCTTTTTAAATCTTTTTCTATAATAATGTTATTTTTACTTGAAGATTTATTTTATTTAATAGCTTTT